TGCCAGTCCAGAGGTGGAAGACCTGTCTGGAGGGAATGATGGTGTGCTCACACCAAAACCATCTGAGGAGTCTGTATGTGATGAAGTTCATGAGACAATCCAGAACACCCTAAAACCCACACCTAAGTCCGGAAGAACCCCAAGAATGTCCCTGAGACTGCTGAGAAGCCTCAAAGCCAGTCCAGAGGTCATGGAAGACCTGTCTGGAGGGAATGATAGTGTGCTCACACCAAAACCACCAGATGAGTCAGTGAAAGATGAAGAAATTCACCAGATAGTACAGACAGCTCCAGACAACACCCCCAAGACAGGAAGAACCCCAAGAAAGTCCCTAAGACTGCTGAGAGACCTTGGTGCAAGTCCTGAGGTCACGGTCAAGCTGTCTCCTATGCCAGCACCAGAATCTCTCGAGAAGTCAGGCAGTAATGAAGCCCACAGAGAGATTCCGAAAACTCCACAGCACACCCCACAGTCAGGACGACGTCCACAAGTTCAGGAAAGCCTCATTGCAAGCCCAGAGCTGGTGCAAGACCTGGCCAGCCCGAAGGGTCAGTCATTACAACTAGAACCCCGACGGAAGTCAAGAAATAGTTCTGTCCTCAGGGAAATTCAGAAAACGCCAAACCACAGCAGCTTAGAGTTGGGGGACGCCCCACGGATGTCCCTGGGACTGCTGAGAGACACTAGTGCAAGTCCAGAGGTCACAGAAGACCTGCCTGCAGTGAGTGGTGGTGTATTAGCACTGAAACAAGCTGAGGAGTCAGCATGTGATGAGGAAGTCCAGAGAATGACCCAGAGAATGTCAAAGCATATGCCCAAGTCAGGGAGAACAAGCAGGTCCCTGAGACAGCGGAGAAGCACTGATGTGAGTTCAGAACATGAAGAACCAATTGGAGTGAATGATCAGAAGTCAGCACCAAAATCACCAAGGGAGTCAATATCTGAGGAAGACGTTCATAGAATAATCCAGAAAATGCCACAGCACACACCAACGCCAGGGGGACCTCAGAGACTGTCTCCATGCGTGTGGGCAAACCACATAGCAGGCCCAGAACTAATGGACAATCTGGCTGGCCTGAGAGACCAAACCTCACTGACTCCACGGCGAGAATCAAGAAGTAGCTCAGGCCACAGAGTGAATCCAGCAGCTCCAGAACACGCACCAGCATCAGGGGAGGCTTCACAGGCACCTGCCAGGCTTCTGAGAGATGCTGGTGCGAGTCCACAGGGTGGGGAAGACCTGTCTGCAGTGAATGATTGTGTGCTTACACCAAAGCAACCTATGGAGTTAGTGAGTGATGAAGTTCACCAAACAATCCAGAAAACATCAACACACGCACCCAAGGCACGAGCAACACCCACAATGTCCTCAAGACGGCTCAGAAGCCTTACTGCAAGTCCAGAGAACAGGGGAAGCCTGTCTGGAATGAGTGATGTCATACCATCACCAGAACCTCTACAGAGGTCAGGAAGTGGTACCGTATATGGAGAGATTGAGAAAACTCCAGAGCCCACACCCAAGTCAGGGAAGGCCCTAAGAAGGTCCTTGAGAATGCTGAAAGACGTTAACACAAGCCCCGAGATCACAGAAGACCTAGCTGGAATGATGGATGGTGTGTCAGAACCAAAACCAGAGTCAGTAAGTGCTGAAGTCCACCAGACAGTACAGACAGCACCAGACAACACCCTCAAGACAGGAAGAACCCCAAGAAAGTCCCCGAGACTGCTGAGAGACCTAAGTGCAAGTCCTGAGGTCATGGATGAGCTGTCTCCTACGCCAGCACCAGAGTCTCTCCAGAAGTTAGGCCCTGGTGAAGCCCATGGAGAGATTCCAAAAACTCCACAGAACACCCCACAGTCAGGGGCAACTCCAAGAATGTCCCTCAGACGGCTGAGAGACTTTAGTGCAAGCCCAGAGCATGTGGGAGGCCTGTCTGGAATAAATGATCAAATGCAAACCCCAGAATCCATAAAATTGATGAGTGATGAAGAAATCCACAGAAGAAACCAGCAATGCACACCTAAGACAGGAGCTCCGAGAGCACCCCTGTCTCCCCTGGGCACCATTTGTGCACAGCCAGGTGGTGTGGACCTGTGTGAGCTGAATGACAGCATGCCAACACCCAGACCACCTGAGGAGTCAGTGATGCAGGAGGATGTCTCACAGACAACACGGGCGACACCAAGACGCTTGCACAAGTTAACTCCAAGTCCACAAATGTCCTCAAGACCATGCCAGCTCCCTAAAGCTGGCCCAGAGTTTGTGCATACACCCGAGGAGTCAGATAAAGAAGTGGCAAGGGAGATCCCAGAACCCATAAAACCTACAGGCACGTCACAGAAGTCACCTTTCAAAATAAAGCCCGAAATAGTGGAAGCTGTGTCGCTGAACATCTCACAAACACCACCTGCAGTCGTCAACCCAGAGTACCAGGCAGTTGACACCAAGCTCGAGACTGCTTCTGGGGAGACACAAGAGCCCCTCACAGACCGCAGAATGCGTCAGAGACGCTCTCTCAATATGCCAGCCCCAGTGGAAGAGCCAACAGGTACAAAGACCCGAGGGAGAGCCCGGAAGCGGTCATATGAATGGGAAGAAAATCTGACGGGCCTTAAGTGGCTCATGAAGACACCTGGAGGCCACCCAGAAGGAGAAGGAGATCCAGGAATCCTCAGTGCAGAACAGGAAAGCCACCCGCCTGAGAAAACAGAGTGTCCAATGGCGGACCCTGTGCCACAACTGCCATGCGACGTGGCCCCAACCACGTGTGACGAAGCGTCCGAGCCCGTGACTGAAATGAAGGTAAGAGCCATTAACTGGAAATGCCATCTTCACAGTATGTTTTCAGTCTCTGTGTCATCAAGGCTGGAGCATGCTTGGTTAGCTGGGTTCTGTCTTCATCGCTGTCCAGGTGAGCTAGAGAGACTAGGCTAATACAGTGAAAGGCTGAGCCAATGTCTACATGTAAGGATGGTTCTCAGGAAGTGAAAGAATTCTGTTCCTCTTAGAATGTGGGTAACTCTTCCGAGGAAAGGTGGGCAGGTCAATTCTGTGTTTGCCCTGATATTAGTAATTGACCAGAAATCATTTCATGATGGTCTCTGATTTACCCACCAGAACTCCATGACTAGGGGTTAGACACATTTGTCAGAGCTCTGCATTGAGAGAAGTTTGACCAAATTCCAGATGCAGGAATTTCCTGTATGACATTAGAAGTGAATGAATTCACTAGGAATGTATGTACTGGCAGCCTAAGGGGGCATTTTAAGTAAATGGCTACAGTCAGAGTTTGTGTCTGTATATTCACACTGGCCTCCACTCACGATGGGAATTGTGGGCATCTTCTGATTTTTTTTTTTAGGATGGACCGGTTTCCAGTCAAGCAGACTCCAGCAATTCTTGTGAAGACAGTGAGTAGAAACCATTACTTCCATGTCCCTTTCCCAGTCCTTGTCACACCTGAGAGTTTGTTTGGATAGTCAGAATTTTGTTTTCTTGGGACTGTATAAAAGTCCAAAGTATAGACTGTTGCTGCATTGTGTTACTATTTCAGAGCTACCGTCTTTCTCAGTAGTTCTCAGTGTAAAACCTCCAGCCATCCAGTTAGATTCCACCACGGTGACCATGAGGGTCAGGTTAGGGCTCCCACAGGCTTTCTAAAGCTGTCACATTTACAAAAGCGGAGTGCTTCTTCTCTGGAGGGCCGGCTGGGTTTGAACTGCTAACCGCAGCCCACCAGGGCTCCTGTAGGCCCTGGTAGATGCTGTCCTGCATTTCCTATTGACTCACAAGCCCTATGAGTACACAGCTGGGTGGATTCTGGGAGAGATTTGCTGAGCTTAAAACTTACTGTTATGAAAAGGTCAGTTCCTCTTCCTGGTATATGCTCTAAATGACCGTATGAATGTGTACTAGTAAATGCACACATGTAAACAGACCTGTTTCTAAATCTCCTTTATGTTACAGAGTCCCAGATGAATGCCTCTGAAAAATTTCAGTCTGCAGACGGTGGTACAAATCAGAGGACAAGACTCACCCTCAGAAACAAAATGGGTGGACACTTGAAAGAATCGGAACATTTGCTTCATCAAACAGAGAAGAGCATCCAGGCAGAAAAGCCAGGTTCCCAGGCCCCTTCCAGACGCCGCTGCAGAGCGGGAAGGGCAGTGCAAGAGTCTCAACCACTCCCTCGCCCAGAGACAGCGCATGGCCGTCCAGAGGGGAAGCAGGCCCTCCGGAGCTCCCGGCGGAAAGCCGCAGAGGGTGAAGTCACAGAAGACGCTTTGAGATCCAGGGGACAGAGTGAAAGTGCTGCAGAGGTGCTGGAAGCTGCTCGTTTGGCCAGCTCAGTCAAAGATGAGAGGCCAGAGGGGAGTGAGCAGGGAGAGACCCCACCTGCACAGGAGGAGAAGGCAGCTCTGCGGGGCAGGAAGAGAGTGTGCACCGTCGAGCTACTTCCTGGCTCGACCCATCTGTCCTCTGTGAAGGCAGAACAGCACGGTGCTTCATCCAGCCCAGCAGCCAGCAAAGCCATAAGCAAGGAAGAGAAAGCCAGGCCAGAGTCCTTGGATGCAGTCTCCACCCAGAGGCCTGTCCCCCGAGCACTGAGATCCAGACGAGGGCCTGGCCCCGGGCGTCCACCCAGCCCATTAAGGACCCCCGAGGCCAACCCTGGAGAGACTGGGAGGACGCGGAGGAAGGGTCCTCGCGAAGAGCTGGAAAAGCAGGGACAAGAGGGAAGTGTGAAGATGAGGCAGCGTCGTGGCAAAGAGCCACAGCACTCCCCGTCTCTGCCCGCCATATGCGAAGAAGACACCACAGACCAGGATGTGGATGAGGAGAGAAAGCTGCCTAGCCATCCAGGCCCTGCTCAGGAAGGCAGAAGGCCGAGGTTGAGACACGGGACTGGGGTGCATGCAGACCCAGAGGATCACATGAATGGAGCCGCTGCCAGTGAATCTAAACATACAGAGGAAACCCCCACACAGAGACCTGTTGAGACCTGCCACCAGCAGACACTAGCAATGGCCGAGGCAGTGCCCCATCAGCGGCCCAGAAGGCGAGCCAGGGGGCCCGACATCCCCTCCACGAAGCCAGAGGCCAATCCTGAGTCTGGTGCAGGCCTGGTACCAGTCACCACCACCAGGACACAGAGGACCAACCCCGAGCCCAGCACAGAGATGGCATGCCTGTGACCAGGAGACGAAAGGCTGACCCTGAGCCCAGTGCAGACCAGGGACCTGTCACCAGCACAAGGAAGGGAAGGGCCGAGCGCAGCACAGAGGTGGTACCTGTGGCCACTACCAGGAGACGAAAGGCTGACCCTGAGCCCAGTGCAGACCAGGGGCCTCTGGCTACCACTAGGGGCCGAAAGGCTGATACTGAGCCCAGCACAGAAATGG